ATTTAAATGATTAAAAACACATTTTGATCAATTAAGATGTATGCTCATGGCTCTTTTAAACTATAAACCATTATACAATGTAAAGCATTGCTATAACCCGAGAAAAAACTGCTTGTGAGCCACCTCTGAGCTTGACTCCACATGTTTCTGTTTCATTGGAGAAAGAGAGTGTAAAGCTGAGATAGAGGCCTGGAAAAAGATGGGTTCGGTGGCAGGTGCAGTTTTGGCTGGGCCCCTCTAGTACAATCTCTTATTATAAAGTTCAAATACTTTACAGTCTCATTTCTACCAATCTAATTATTTTATAGTTTATACAAACAAAGCACTCAAATGGTAGGCTTCTTTTGGCTGGTAACAGAAAGGAATATTGACAATGTCTAATGCCTAATGTGTAGTTTTCTGCAGTACAGAAAGATCTTTCCACTACATTAACTCACAATTTTTTCTACAGCTTTTTGAGAGTGATATATTTCAATCCTTTTGTAGAAATAAAGAAAATGAATATTGGAATTAATATGCTTCATCCAAGATCTCATCCCTAGTAGTAGCAGATGCAAAAATTCAATGCTAGATTATGAATTCTTTATACCACTCCCACATAAGTGATCTGTTTAGCTCATTTCCACAAAGGCAAAATGTTGTTCAATATTTGAATCATCATTCACACATTTATTAGGAGACTGAGAAAAATGGAAAAGCAGATAAAACTCAGATTGCTCATTTGTAACTTCTCTGAATGAAGGAGTAGATTGAAATCTTTGTAATATGAAATTTTGGATTGCTCACATACTACTACAATTTGTGAAGCTGAATAAATAAGTGATTATAATTAATAAAAGGCAGGGAATAGTGTTTTTTCTTTCACTAATGATTGAGTAGTTACTGTCATATCAACCTTCCCACAGATAACAATGATGACAAAACAACAATTATATGAAGGTATCGGAGAGTGACCAAAAGCAAGGAGAAACTGAAGGGAGTCTATGCTTGGGAGGAGGGAATAACGATCGGTAAATTTCAGTTTTCGTGGCTTTGACAAGCATAGCCACTATATAGAATGGATAAAATTTAATGTAGAAATTAACCAGCTAATGTTTAGAGCAGTCTGACTGGCTTGAGGAACCACAGGTGATTGGGGTGACCGTGGTAGCTGGAAAGTAAGAGGGGGAAACTTTAGAAGAGATTGAGTGAGAGTAGAAGTTCCAAATTCTGCCTATAAACTTCATCCATATCTCTGGCTGACCACTTAATTATGAATAGTAGTTCATCTTCCAAGCAGCTCAGTAAAGAATAACCGAAAACAAAATTTCAGCTGCCACCTACTACAGAGAAAATAAGATGCTATGGACTCCATATTTGTGCCACACCTCCCAGCTTATATATTTAAATGTAATCCCCAATGTAATGGTATCTGGAGGTAGAGCCTTTGGAAAGTGATTAAGTCATGAGGGTACAACCTTCATGTAGGGGATTGGCGCCCTCATAAAAGAGACCTCAAAGAGCTCCCTTGTCCCCTTTTAATATATGAGGACACACTGAAAAGACCATCATCTATGAATCAGGAGGCAAGTTCTCACCTGACACCAAATCGATTAGTGACTTCATCTTATACTTCCAGCCTCCAGAACTGTGAGAAATAAATTTCAGTTGCTTGTAAATCACTCAGTATATGGTATTTTTGTTATTAGCAGCCTGAATGGACTAAGGCATAATAGTTAAGAGCTGGTTTTCATCCAAGCTGACTGTGTGCTAAAACGAAACAAAAAATTGATACTCTTTGGAGCTATATAATAGAATCCAGAAACTTTATCATTCATAATATCATCCAAGATACAATTCAAAATTATTAGACATGTGAAGAGACAGGAAAATGTGACCCATACTTAAAAGAAAAGGCAATCAAGGGGACTAACTCTGAGATGACTCAGGTGCTGGAATTAGCATACAGGAGTTTAAAAGAGCTACTATAACTATTACTGGGTATGTAAAGGAACATATACTTAATAAATAAATTAATAGGAAATCTTAACAGAGAAATAGAAACTACATAAAAAAAGAGAACCAAATGGAAATTTTATAGCTAAAAAATACATTATCTAAAGTTGTATTTCATATGGGCTTAATAGTAGCTTGAGATGATAGAAGAAAAAAACCAGTAAACTTGAATCTAGATCAATATATATCATTCAATCTGAAGAAAAGAGAGAAGAAAACAGTGGGGGTACGGGGAGAAGTAGAATCTCAAGTATAGGTGGGCAATACCAAAAAGTGTAACATCTGTAAAATTGTGTATCAAAAGGGAAAAAGGGAAAATGGGGCAAAAAAATTTGAGGAATCAATGGCTGAAAATATCCTAAATTTAGTGAAAGTTATAAGTTTTTAGAGTCAAGATTCAGTAAATTCCAATCTAGATACAGACATATATTAATCAAATTGCTAAAAACCAAAGATAAAGAGAAAATCTTGAAAGACAGAAAAAAAATGACACATTACATACAAGTTAGCACCAATGTGAAATATTGCTGATTTCTCATAAGAAACAATGAAAATCAGAAAAAAAATGGATCATTTTTAGAATGCTAAAAGAAAATATTATTAACCTAGATTTCTATATCCACTGAAAATGTCCTTAAAGAATTAAGATGAAATAAAGACACTTCAGATTAAACTAAGAGAATTGTTGCCAACAGATCTTCACTGAAAGGTAAAGAGAAATGAAATCAGGTAAGAATGAAGAATACTGGAAATAATAAACATGTGAGTAAATATAAATGACTATTTTTTCCTTATTTCTTTAAAATACATATGAATGTTTAGAGAAAAAATATAAAATGTTGTTGTGGAGATTATAACATATGGAAATGTAATACATATGAAAACTATAAAATAAAGGACCAGAGAGGTGGCAAATGATCCTAGATAATTATAAGGGTCTTATGTTTTACATTAATGAATATATTTACCCTAAATAAACTGGAATTTTAAGTATGCATATTGTAATCCCTAGAACAACAACTACAGCTAGCCAATAGACAAAACGGGATTATAAAATATGTTGATTTACTCAAAAGAATGTGAGAAAGGAAGAACAGAGGAACAAAAATCAGAGGTACAAACAGAAAACAAATGATAAAATTATAGACTTAATTTGACCATATCAATAATTATATAAAATGTATATGGGCTAAAAATTCCAAATAAAAAACAAGGGATGAAGGATAGAATTTTAATTTAATAGTAACAAGAAATCAGAGGTATTTTAAGGTTGTGACTTTGGTTCTAATTATAAAGGTTGTTGAATTCTAAACTAATTTACCCATAAGATTTTGTGTAGGCTCTCAAGTTTCTTGAATGGTTTGGGTGTCCTTCCCTTAGAGTTGGATACATAATCTCTAGAAAATATCACTGAATTGAAGTTTGGAGAAGCTGAGACTGGGGTCTGAGTACTTCCTCTCCCAGAGGGGTTTGGGATTCTTATGCAAATTTCTTTCTAGTATCCAGCATTGCCTGATTGACTCAAGTGACTATGGGACAAAAGAGATCAGCCTCTCTAGATTAAGAAAAAATAGTACTATGACTGTTACAATTTCCTTGATAACTGCCTGTCTTCCAGTAAGACGGAAAGCTTTGTATATTTCCTTTTTGTCTCTCCATCAGGTGAACCCAGTGCCTGGCTTTTAGTAGGCATTCAACAAATACATAACACATCATGGCCTAGCCTTAGAAGTAATTTATGACTGCCTATTGGATACATTTACCTATCTACCATTTGTTAACTTTTAAAATTAATTTTATTGATGTACAAATTTTATATAATAAAAGGTTCTTATTTTAAGTGTACAGTTTGATAACTTTAATAAATATATATACCCATATAACCACCACAATAAAGATATAGAGTATTTCTAATACTCCAAAAAGTTCCCTCATGCTTTTTGCCATTAATCTTTTCCCCATTTCCTCCCAACCCATGGCTGTAGGTACCCATTGATTTATGTTGTATTAGTTTGCATTTTCTAAACTATATAGACAGACAGACGGACACTAACAGACAGACAGAAAAATGGAATCACATAGTATGTATTCTTTTGTGTCTGGCCTCTTTTGCTCAGCATGTGTCTGAGACTCATCCTCATTGTTATATGTATTAGTAGTTTGTTCCTTTTTATTGTTGTTATTCCATTGTTTAGATATAATACATTTTGTTTATTCATTCATCTTTTCATAACTATTTGATTGTTTCCAGTTTTTAGCTATTAGTAACAAAATTGTTATCAACATTTATAAACAAGCCTTTGTACAGACATATTTTTTCTGTGTGTGTGTGTGTGTGTGTGTGTGTGTGTGTGTTTAAATTCTTAGGGGTAGAATGGCTTGATCATTAGGGTAGGTATATGCTTATAAAAATTTCCAAACTGTATTCCAAAAGTAGTTTTACCATTTTACACTCCCACTAGCAGTGCATAAGTTTCAGTTTCTCCATATCTTCAGTGATACTTGAGACTGTCAATCTTTTTATCTTTAGTGGTGCCTCAATTTAAAATTCACATGCTCAAATCTCTGAACCCCCATTCGGCCCCTTTCTTAAGAGCTATCACTTTGGACTTTCGCTATTAATGACAACAATCATGCTCAAAAAATTAATGGTAGAACAACATTAATTAAACATTTATCATTCTCCTAACTTAAGAGTGTAAATTTTGCGAGGTCAAGACCTATTTGGTTTCCTGTATCTAGCACAATGCATGGTATACAGTGTGCACATTTATTAGTTATCTGTTGCTTATTATAAATAGCCCCAAATCTTAACAGCTTAAAATAACAAACATTCATTGTTTCACACAATTTCTGAGGGTTAGGAATCCAGGAGCAGCTTACTTAGTGCAGTGGTTCTGTGTCAAGGTCTATTATGAGATTGCTGTTAAGCTATTGGCTGGTGTTACAGTCATTTGAAGGGTTGTCTGGGGCTAAAAGATTGACTTCCAAGATTATTCACTCACATGACTATTGGCAAGAGGTCTCAGTTCCTTGCTGGCTATTGTTGGCAGTCCTCAATTCCTTGCCATGTGGTCATCTCCATTGGGCTTCTCAACAGCAGCTGGTTTCTCCAAAGTGAGTGATTGGAGGGAGATAAAGATAGAAGTTGATTATAGACTAATCAGGAGACAGGAATTGTTGGGGGCCATCGAGAAGGCTGGCTGACACAGTGCACAGTGAATATTCATTGACTGAACCGACGTGTGCCTGAAACTCTCCTAAGCACTTTACTTACACCATCCCATTTAATCCTGATAACCCATGGACCATTGTCCTCATTTGAGATGATGAAATTGAGGTTTGTAAAAGTTAAGCAATCTGTCCAATTCTACAAAGCCATTAGGTGGCAGACCCAAAGTTTAAAGCCAGACCTCTCGAACCCTAAAGGCTGTAAAAAATTGTTTACACTGAAAATAATATATTGCACTACTCAAAAAGAACTTGATTTAGATGATCTTTTAAATTTTGCTTATATCGAGTGTCACTCATTTGTATGTAGGAAAGAAACTAGAAATTACATCAACAAGGAAACCCTAAAATTCTTCAAGAGGGTAAAAAATTGGTTCCATATTTTCCAGTTAAGGTTATTTTCATTTTTTCTCTCTTACCAGACTAATGTTTCAGATTCTTGGCAGATCCTTGGAAACAAAGAAAGTCAAGAATTCTGCCACTGACTTCCCACAGAGTAAACATAAGTTTGCTGACCATTGAGTGTGCATATGGCACTGTTGCAGGGATCTACAAAGCAAGTGAGACAGTTCCTGTTGTCCAAGAGGTGACAGTTTCCTTGAGATTAAGGTGATTTAAAAATAATTGTAACACAAGGAAGTGTAAGCACCATGGACAGGCCCACAGGGACTACTTATTGAGGTTTGAATTTTTTAGAAAGACCAGCTACGTCTTTAAAACACATTTGGTGTTTATTAAAAAGTCTTGTGTGATAATCCCTGTAAGTCAATAGAAGATTAAGATGAGGGAGCTAGGACTTCTTTATTTTTATTATTATTTTTAAAGCAGTTGGAAAACTTGTAAAGACAGTGACTTGTTTACCATAGCAGATTCAGTATCTCAGTCAGGAACCACAGTTTTCCACTAACGGTAGCATGATATGGGTTCCTGGAATGCAAGAATGAAGAAGGGTGGCTAAGGTTCAAAGACTGGATAGCCTTTCCTTAGAATGTAGGGATCAAACCAGGTCAAGAGAGAGAGTGAAGTGGGTAAGGCAATGAACATAGCCTAGGGATTGCCTGGATTTAAAGAGTTAATGTGATAATGCTGGAGCAGAAATGAAAAGGACAAGGCAGTGGTACTCAGATCCATCCTCACTGGGATGCAGACAACAGGAGCTGGAAGGAAGATGCTCACTAGGCAGTCCAGGGCGACCTGCCCCACCTCCCCCACTTATCCCTCCACACCAGCCCAGACTGGTCGTCGGGGGCCAAATATCTGGCCAGGAGGAACAGGCTCAGAAACTCACCTTTGCCAGCTCATTTTTACATTTGGGCTCCTGATGGGGTGCATCCATATCTATGAGAATCTCGCAGACTGTACCCCCTATGCTTTTGGTGGCATGGGAAGACTACCTCTTACTACGTTTATAAACAATGATAACTGAAGACGTGTTCCCAGGTTACAGAGCCTGCAGGCGGTGCTCGCGGGCCAGAAGGCACGGCAAGGGCCGGGCCGCTGTGCAGGGCTCACACTTCTGGAACTTCTGTGAACAGCGAGCACACAAGCGATCAACAAAGCAGCAGCAAAGGCGGTGGAGACCAGCCCCCTACCCCCCCATCCCCGCAAAGCACGGCGCATTCCGTAGGTCGGGGTGCTCACTGCGCGCAAGGTACGCTTTGGGGCAGTCCTGCCTGACCCCGGAAGAGAAAGTTGTGTTGGGGAAGGGGAGCAAAGAGAAGAGAGCGAGTTGAGTAAAACTTAAAATCAAAGTTGTTCTGCTCCCCTCAGACTGTCTTCTCCTCCCCCTACTCCCCGCTCATCTTTGCACTAGTCTCCTTCAGAGTCTGACTTCTTCAGAGGGACTGACGCTCCTTAAGTTCCAGTCCGAGTTGGGGGACAGTTGAGCACCGGGCCCGCAGGTTCCTAGACCCTCTCCCGATCCAGGTCGCTGGGAAAACCCGGAGCGGAGCAGCCCCCTGCCGGGAAACGCCCTCGGCGCACGCCCACTGACGCGCATGCTCAGTCGCGCGGCGGCAGCGAGTAGGAAGCTCTGCGCGGTAGTAGCAGCAGCGGCGGCGGCTAGACTGGAGGGTGGGACGGGGCGCACCGACTGGCGGGCGGGGGCTCTGGGACGAGGCTGCGGCTCCCGCCGGAGGTTCCTGGGAGTGTTTGGGACCGCGAAGCTCTGCGCGAGGAGCGAGTGAGCACGGGAAGCAACGAACGCGGAGTGGACTGCGGGAGGAGCGGAGCCGCCGGGCGGAGCGGGCTCGGAGCCCGGGTCTCCGCGGCTCGGGACCCGGCGGCGGGGGTGGCGATGTTCCACTGCATCCCCCTGTGGCGGTGCAACCGTCATGTGGAGACCATCGACAAGCGCCACTGCTCGCTGGTCTACGTCCCGGAGGAGATCTTCCGCTACGCCCGCAGTCTTGAGGAGCTACTGCTGGACGCCAACCAGCTCCGCGAGCTGCCGGAGGTGAGTGTCCGGCCTCACCTGAGCGCCGCCCTGGGGGAGCGCGGCCGACTCTGGCCAGCCCTCGCCCTCTCTCCCCTTTTCTCTAGTCCCCTTGCGTCTCATTTGTCCCGTTTTCCATCTTCAGACTGGGCCGGCAGGTCCCGCAGGAACCACCTCTACCTGCATTCACCTGCTTCTTTCTCCTCCTCCCCTTCCTCGGTAAAAGTTTCTTTTCATTTTATTCAAAGCATCTTGATGTTTTCCAGGTAGTCACTAGAGCCTGTGCGATTTGGGGAAACATTCTGGGCTGATGAGTAGTTTAGATACATGTCTAGGTAGTAACACCTGGCACTTGTATCCGGGCAGGTAAGGAGCCAGGTAGCTTGAGCTGTTTCCTGCTAGAAGGACCGACCACGGCATCCCGCTCCCGGGGCTAGTTCCCTCACCCTACATTCCCCGACCACCATCTGGGCACTGTCTCCCCTTTGACCAGGGCAGGTCCCGGAGAGGTAGTGCGCAAGTGAGCCGCATTATCTTGGCATCTTGCGAGGAATGTGCTCTGGGCCTTATCGCTGGTGAGTGGTGCTCGGAAGA